GTAAACTCTCACACGGTCTGTCAATATGCTTAACGCTTCATGACAGTCGCGCTCAAGAGCGAGTATGAGATTCATTTTCCTCTTACACTTTTTGGCCTCTTTCAGATCTTTACCTCCAAGTTTTTCACCAGACAAAGTCCGTTCTATGAGAGCTTTGTGGAAATTATACAGTCTTACCTTCTTTTCTATGCTCGCCTTCCACCCTGATGGCTTCTTCTCTCTCCTTGTCATATCTTTATAGCACTGTTGTACTACCTGGAGCTGCCTTGCAATGTCGGTCATTTACTTGAGGGGATTCTGTGTAGTATATTCACCGTCGCCTGGTTCATTGTTGCAAGTATAAGCGGGTCAACTTTCTCCGAGATTATTTACCGCGTCCACTTTGTCTGGTCTATCTCACGTCCTTGTGCTCCTGCATCAGGACTAAATATTTCTCTTTTACATCTTAGACTCGTGCAGCGCGTTTTGCTCAAAGTACTTATCTTGTGTTTTGATACGTTTCATTGACCCCTCCGAAAACCGTTTCTGCGAACACGGACGTCATGCAATACTGATGATTGCAGCATTCGCTTTTTTCTTTAGTTCTTCAAGGCCAATTATGCACACAAACCTCTCGCAATACAGGGAGCGATACAAGGGCCATCCCCCTCTCGGCATACTCTCGAAACGGTCAAGAACCGCCTTTAACACTTCACCTGGCCAGCTGCTCTGTGGAACCTCGATTCCTCAAATAATAACTTCAAGCGTTATCATCCTACTGGTTCTCGGTTTCGGTAAGCTGGCAGAGTGCTCTCCTACAACTTTCACAGCGCTTTTCGCAACCTCACTTGCTTTCCCATTGTTTTCTACTATGATTCCAGATGCGGTTTTCTCCGTTCATCCTCCATTTCCTTCCCAGACTTCTGATATGGTGACTGTACGACCACATAGCCTTCTTCTTTTCGGTTTCCATTTCGTTTTGTAACGGGCTTCCGCTACATTCCTGCCATGCGTGTTAATCTTTACTTTCTTCCCTTGTTTCGTCTTCATTTCTTCAGAAGTACTGCAACAAGGGATGGCATGAGCATTGTCGATATGGTCTCTCTTTGCTTTTCGCCTCTTGGAAGTTGCCTGTGATGTTGAAGGTCTTTCAGAGACTCGTTTCCAGCCATTAGTTAACTGATCTATTGGTCTCCTGAATGTTCTCTCGTACTGCTACTATATCCACCGTTCTGGCGTCGTTGGCTGTCGATACCATTACGATTGCTGTCGCAACTGCTCGCACTGGTATTTCTGCCATTCACTTCCATCGTCGCATCATACATCGCCATAACAGTCAGAAGTGGAGCAGAGAAAAGAATGGAAACAGGAATTGCTAGAAAATGTGTTTCGTCCAATAACATGCATGATCTTTCGTCCACAATTACCTCAAACTTGGGTTATATAACCTATATATATAT